CTATCTCTTTGGCAACAATGAGGACACCTCTTACAATTCCAATGTCCAGGACGAAGAAAGATTGTTGGCCAATGTATCAATCTTTGGAAATCTTGTAATGTACCAAGAGCCTCTGATCAAGTTGTAAAATCTGGGCTGATGATGAGTGGATCGGCAAAGGTGTTTCCAATCCAGTAGAGTCCCAATTGAAGTACGTGGGGTTACAAAAATACACAACTAATAAATGTACAATTACTGTTAATGGGAGTGTTACACCCCTAAGCTCAAAAATACCTTCTTAGAGCTTAAGTCCAGATGATGACCATCTAAGTCCGAGGAAGGTCCAATTTCATCAGGGTCAGGTCAGCATCACATCAACAGGTGAGATAAGTATAGGAGCAATGTACACAATGCTCCCAACTGCACATATGTGTTCAGCTCAGTCAGTCTACCAGTACTAAGCTAACTATCCCAACAATGCCCCTCAATGTCATCTCTTAGTGATCTACATTTTAGCAGATACCAATACTGAAGCATCAATGTCAAGGTGAAGCCATTAAGTGGACTGAGATTAGACACTCTATAATTGAGAAGAGGATTGGTTGCTGATGCATAATGAATAGTCATCTCAACTGGAGAGAGAGGTGTAGTGACTGTGGGCTACACTGTCACATTAAATCTCAGATACATATAATTTTTCCAAAGTACAGTCATTCTTATTGTAAAAAGGAAGACACACGTTTAATATTTCTACATTTTATACGACTGATGAGTCCAGAAAACCAACTTAGAAAAGTCTAAAGGAATTCTTCTTAGCATATCAGTAACCACGCAAAAATTTCAAATTTCAAGGAAACTGAGCCTTGGCAATGTAAACATGTGCTTAAATGCGCTTACGTGCCCAAGCTTTTTTATATTTGTGAATGAACAAGTATTCACCTTTGTACACTTAATGAAAAAGATACATCTGATAATTATGGAATGCCAGAACTACAAACAACTACAATTGCCTTTGAATTTGAATAATGGGGACTAGATTTAAGGTTATTGTATTTATTAATATGGTTTTATGGATGAAACTGCTTAGATGGACGAACAGATACCTGTTGTCTTAAAATTTTAAGTTGTTTATGATTTTTCTAGCTGAAAAATAGTGCATTACCCGATATAAATACAATACAGTCAACCCAGTCATTAAAACAATAAGCCAGTCTTTCATTCAAATATCAAGTTCAAACGTAATCATTATTTTATGTTACTTCAACTAAAGTAATGTGTTACGTATTATAATTTATCCCCGGATGGGCCTCCAATTTAGTACTTTAACGTATTACAATATCAAATAGCCTAAAACAGAGTTAAATTGTAATTGAGATTTAGTAGTTAAATAAATGCCGACATTTATCCAATTAATGATATTTGCCAACAACATTGCTACACACAGTTTTGTTTATAAAAATATATTTTTTATATACTGTTGCGTCATCGAGTCACAAGACTACTGTGACGCAACGTTTCTAGAACTATCATGTACTTTGGCGAATGTTCTAGTTCTTACTAGATATAGGGTAGGCTGGTATATAAAAGAGGGG